TAATAGATCAGGGTGCCTGAGGCCCCCTGAACTCATAGGCATTAATTTTTTCATTGTTTCATAGTGGTGAGATTGTAGGGGTTGACCTACGTGAGGGGCTGGGGGAGTCTGGAGGACTCCCAGGGAGTCAGGGAAGAAAGCCTGTACTGAGAAGTATTTTGATATTGTAACAACTCTTAGGGCCATACATGTGCTGACACACTATCACCCCTACCTTTCTCCACTACCAATTTTTTCTGCATATATTGAAAAGATCCACATTGAAAAGTGGAGCAGGCTCTTCAGAGAAAGTAGCATTTTTCAAACTCAGCCTACATGCCGTTTATCCTTCAATACATTTTGCTGTTAGAATTTGTCTAAAGTATCTTAGCTGTGAAATATCTGCTTAGTTTTTTTCTTATTTATTCACTCATGTCTTACCAGCATAACCAAAGTGACAATTCTTTAGGAAAGCTCTTTATCATTGGCGTTGGCCTAGAAGAAAATGGACATATAAATAAGAATTAATTATTTGATGCAATGATCTATTGTCCAACATTAATTAAAATATGTATAGTACTAGGCTTTTAAATGAGATATGGGAATATAAAAGTTCAAGGTGGTGAAGAAGTCTTCTGGGAAAGGCAGATCACAGAATCATACCTCTCACTAATTCTAATAAAATGAATGGAAAATAAGATTAAAAAGAAACTGAAAAATACACTTGTTATCAAAAGTGGAAGGAAGTATGAACATGTTCATTTTTAAAAATGGTTTGTATCTGAGAATCAATAGATATAGTCAAGCTGATATTTTTATCTGTTAAAATTTTGACAGATGATATAAAGTTCTGATTATAACCCTTAGAAAAATGAAAAACATTGAAAATCTACTAACTTGTCAGAAAAAGAAAATACATACACACACACACACACACACTCCATTTAACACAAGACATTCCATTTAACAGAAAATACGGAAAAAAAAAGATATATAGGCAAGAAAAATATGTAATTAGGGGCCAGACCAAAATGAAGCATGTTGAGATAAATCTACTCATTGAAAGAAAAAAATGACTCAGTTTCTAAAAATGGCAAATTCCAATTAAATGCTTATATATAAGTAACATATCTTATAGGGGAGAAGAGATTCCTTTTCTTGCCCATAGATGGGTTTATGCTCGACAGTCCTATAACAAAAGACAGAATGACAAAAGAAAAACACATAGATTTATTCAATATAAGTTTACATGAAAAGAGCCTGCAGAAATGCAGAATCAAAGAAACGGAGAACTGTGTATTTTTATGCTTAAGGTTGATGAAAAGTAGACAGTCATGTAGAAATACAATTGTACAAAAAGGAATATGATCTAAAACAATCAGCTGTAGGGAACTCACCAGAGCCTGTGTGTTCTATTTCTTATTACTGTCGCTGTCTTTGAGGCTACTTCTGGAATGAAGGTTCTTATGACCTACTTTATAGAAAGGGCAGAGGATTCTTTTATGGCCTGCTTCAGGGGAGAAGGGTGGGAGAAGCTCACAGAGTGGACTTCCTGGTTCTGCTTTTCCTGAAATGCCAAGATGCCGTATTTTGGGGTAGTGTGTTCTGAACCCCATCAATCTAAAGGAGTGGTTTTCAAAGGGCAAGCAGTTAGGAGGTGATTTTGCCTCCCAGGAGGCATTTGCCACTATGTGAATGTGTTTATGACTGTCATAAGTGGAAGTGGGGGTGCTGCTAGCATCTGCTGAGCAGAGACCCGATACGTTGCTAAACAGCTTACAACACACAGAGCAGCCCTCAGAACAAAATATTATGCCATCCAAATGTTAGGAGTGCTGCTGTTGAAAAGTCTAGATCTAAAGTGGGGTGTCTAAAAAAGCTCTTACAAAAAAATCACACAAACCAAATTAACTTGCTGGAGTAATAAATTTATTACTAGGAAAAAATGTTAAAGCAAAGTACAGTACTTTGTGACACTGTATTGATATGAGGCTGTCTGCAATCTTTTCACATTCAATAATAGGATCAAAAACATAAAGCATGTGTTAAGTAAATGTGAAGGGAAATTAACCAAGACACAGAGTAGCGTATGGGTGTTTGTATTTCAAGCACCTAGAACATCTAAAACAGAACACATGGCAAAAATAATATATAAAGAATTTTATGTATTATTCATATATATATATGTTTTGTTTTCTTGCAGTGATTATCATGATTGTTCAGTGGCTGAATCTAAATAATTCCTTGAGTTCTTATCTATGTCGATTTTTTTCTGGCATTCACCCTTATACTGTCCCCTTTGGCAGTCTTATTCAATGTCATGACTTTACTTGTCACACCCATGAAGATGCTCCCAGCTCTGTTTATCTTTTCTAAGTTCTCTTCTGAGCTACTAATTACATGCTAGACATTTCAATCTATATGTCTACAAGTAAGATATGCTGAATTATTAAAGAAAATCCTTAACGATTCATCTTTTCTCTCAAATAGCTTCTCAGTCATCAGCACTTAACATCTCAGAGTTATATTTATTTCCTTTTTTTGTTTCCGTCGTATCACACTCAGCCAGTTGGCATGCTGCAATTATTCTGTCTCTCTAACTCCATACAATTATCTTTCTTCCTCGATCCAGGTTATCTTGACCTGCATATGTATAATAGCTTTTCTTACATTTTCTTCTGCCTGTGTTCAATTCAATTTCAATCTGTTCATCCATTGAACAGAGGCTCAACTTAGAGACAATCTCTAATCTGTCTAAATCATAGTATTTTAGAGGTAGAGGGTCATGGGGTAATTCTAACCAAATATCACATCACAGAAATGAAGAAAGGTGGGGTAAACATATTTATTGAAAGAACTGGCACTGGAACTGCAAATCTTTCACCCGACATACTGTTAATATTTCTTCTTGCCTTCTGTCTGCCCACGTCTATATGCGTTCTTATGTGCCCACTGAGCTGCTTATGCAGCTGATGCTAAGTCTTGGTTAGGAGATAAAGATGTGACTTTGAAGACACATTGTGAAACACGTTATTACTTCAAGGAAAAACGCCAAGGTAATTGGGTTTCCAAAGAGAGAGGAGAGATAAATGGAACGTTCTGAAGAATTCGGTCTTTAAGAAAACATGGGCACTGTCAAAGAGAATTTGAGCGTGATTCTAAATCATGTTATAAAAACAATACGTTTGTTAGACTGTTTCTTAATGAGTTATGCATATAAGGGATGAGAAGCTATTAACTTTTTTTTGTCTTCAAATTGGTCTTTGATTTATCTGCCGTTTTGGTCTCTAAGAATTCTTCTACTAATATGAGTCTTGCATGTGTCATAAAATTTTCATTTAACTTTTTCACTTGTCACTTCTACATCATTAGTGGAATGAAAGTCAAAGAATTCTTGTAAATTAAAAAAAGAGATAAAAGGTTATCTGTCGACCACTTGAGAGAAGCTCTGCTATTATTACCATTAGAGGTGATGTGGCATTTGAATGTTCTCTTTTCTACAGTCCATTTTGTACTGATATCTTATAAAATTAACTTAAAAGAGAAATAGTATGTTTCATCCAGAAGGAAGCATTGATTTCATAAAGAAACAAGGAGAATGAATATAAAAGTTTCTATTAATAACTGCAGAAAAGCAAACAGTCTTCAATTTCAGCTACACCTGGAAACAGAGAGTGTCCACTGGAATAAGTGGAAATCATAGGTGCATATGTAGGAAACAGCTATGAAATTACGAGAATGTTTTTATGTTTGATTTATAAAAAGCTTTCTCATTGAGGTTAAGTCAATTATATAGGAGTACGTATTTTAATAATATTTTTTGAAGATAACTATGTGAAATAACTGTCTTCCAAACTCTGATCTACATGAATGAAGCTAACAGTGACATAATTATTCATATGTTTTAATCTCAGGGGAACTTTGATACCAAATGTCAAAAGTTTTTTTTTCCTCCCATTTCCAAGTAATTTCAAAAAGTATTCATTGCATTTGGTTGTGTATGTATCTTATTTCTGTTTAAAACCTTTTAAATTTTTTTTATAGGTTAGCAAATTGGATGGTTAAACAGTCAAATTGCAGGTTTTGTAGGCCCTAAGCAATAGTTGGTGAAATGACGAATGATTTTTACCTTTCAAACTCCTTGATGACACAAACTATGATAAAAATAAGGAAATCCCTTTATTTGGTGCTCTGATCCAAATCCTGCAACATGCCTTTGGTGTGCAAGTTTTATCAAGGTTACTTGAGTAGTTTAACTTTGAAAGCTGCACAGATTTTACTCACTGTGTGTGTGTTGGCGGCCACTGGACATGTGTGTGTGTTTGTTCTGAATTGCTCCGATAACTGTCCCAACCTCACGGTGTATCACAAAACTTTACTACATGCAAAATATATGCTAATTCCTCATCAGTGTTTTAACATTTTTGGAAGATATATTTTTAAAATTACATATGGTATTTTTATTATATGAAATATAGAAATTCTATTTCTAGCAATAGAATTCAAAATTTCAGATCCCATAAAAATGATTCCGTTGGAGCTTTTAGTAACTCTGTAGGAAGGTCTAGAATATGAAAGTGGAAATAAGGCAGCTTTTAATGGACTACAAAATTTCATATAACATGTATATAAAATAAAGGGTAAAATAATAAGTTCTAGATAGCATCTTATCACCCAGGTCCATTTCCACTGATAAGTGCTGCTTCAAAGGTTAAATTAAAATGCACACCTGCAGAATATTTGTGTGTTTAAAGAATTCATTAAAAGTGGAATATTCCTTCCTGTTTGGTCAATTCCTTAATGAATATATTTGCATTTAATAATAGCATCTTACCTTTAGAGCTTTCTTGCTCATTTTCTCTGCCTTTATCCTAAGCAGTCAGATTTCCAAGGTTAAGACCAAAGGCTTTGTAAAAATGTCATGGGTTTGTCCTTGTTAAAAAAAAAAAAAATTTCAAAAGTCTTTTCTGGCGGTTTACTTCAATGTCATTTCAAGCATAAGAAACTCTATCAACCCAGACATGAAATCAAAAATATTGTTTTACACTGTTAGAAAAGATTTTATTACGTATTTTCTGTCTTTGGACAGACACATTTCAGGAAAATTCAATAAAGATGACATTACAACTGTTTTCCTTTCATTACACCCCCAAATTACAGATCCATATCTCAAGCCTTATCTTTGTAGAAAGGGTTGTATGAAAGCAAGCTTCAATATTTTAAATGAAGCAATATGCTTATTTTTCAGAACAAATTCTATATTATTGTTTGTTAAGGAGTTAGACTTATGTATACATTATTGCATAGGGGAAAGAAGTTTTGAATTATATTATTTGCTCCAATTCTGGCTTACTCCAGCAGTACCTACATGACAAAATAGTTAGTTTATTACCAATTTGATGGATATGATTTGTCATGCTTTGTGAAGATTCCTAATGCGTCCATTTCCTTCTGCTCATGAGGCTTCATAAACTAGTTGTAGGTAGCAACTTCCAGTGATACCTGATGCTGCCAAGGTATTATGAAATCAGACAGGCCAAGTACTCATTTGTAACAGTGGCCTCTCTGTATAGGGCTGAGTTGGTGATACTTTGAACAATGTTTAGAATATCCTCAGTAAGAGAGACTATAAATAGTTGTTTTGATTATCTACGACGCAAAAACAAAAAAACAAAACAAAAACAATAACAATAACAACAAAACTACCTTCAAATTCTGTGATCTAAACAACAACACTCAATTAGTTATTATCTCTCCTGGCTCTTGCCTGGGATCTTTCACGTGGATTGCAGCCAAATGGTGGCTAGGGCTAAACATACCTTGAAGCCTTCTCCACTCGCATGCTTGTTAGTTGATACTGGGTGTCAGCTGGGATTGTTCAGTAGAACTCCTACTTGAGGCCTCTCCATATGTTAGGGGCTTCCTCACAACATGGTGGAGGATCTCTAGAGCAACTCACCCAAAAAGACTAGGCAGAAACTCTATCTTCTTTTATCAACAGCCTTGGAAGTTACATAGTATTATGTCCTTCATGGTCCTGGCAAGCCTGGATTCAAGGGACAAAATAGACCCGAACTCTCATTGGGAGAGGTGTCAATGCCACATTGCAAGAAAATTGTGTGGGAAGGCAGATTTTGTCCTATCCATCTTGAAGAACATAATCTGTCATAATCATTGAACTCCAGGGCTAATCTTATTATCTACTCCTTTAATTATTCTTCAATGACCTTTGATGTCTACTACCTAATTAATATTTTTTACTCAACCAGCAGCATATTTCCTCATATTCTACTTCAGGGTTGCTAGATAGTGGCAGATTCCTCCTTTGGCTGAAATAACTTTCCAAAACCTTTTCTTCTAATCTGGAACACAAGTCTTGTAAAGGAAAGAATACCAAGTATTTTTGTTTCCAGAATCTAAATTGGGCATTAGCAAACTTCCACTTAAAAAAAAGATAGTAAATATTTTAGGCTTTGCTGGCCAAGGTAGTACTGATATAAGTATTTAAAATGTAACCATTAAAAAATGTAACGAACTGTGCATGAGCTGAGAATTCAAGCAACTGGTGGGCTGCCGTTGGCTGGTCAGCTATAGTTTGTCAGCCTCTGGCCGAGAATGCTAGGCAGCAGTGCAAATCAAAATTTGTGAAGCCCAGGAATGACTTTTCATTTGGTTTTATGAATGTGTGCAGATGCTGAAAAAATCTGACTCTATGCCTATACTGGGCATTGCAAATATTCTGCTTAAAGTTTTCAGTTTTAATTGCAAAGAATCTGCAGCATAATTTGATGGGCTTTTCACAAAATCTGTTAAGCAGTTTAAGTTATAAAAGTAGTTTGAAAGCAAATCTCTAGATATACAGAACAAGGTAAAAAAATATTCAAAAAATTCCATTTCTTTTCTCTTTCGGATGGACCTTCATGAATAACAGAGGCAGGACCTTCATGTGTTATATTTCATTGTCATTAATGTTCTAGGCATGGCTACTCCCATTTTTTGTTTCTATCTATCATCATCTATCTGCTGTTATCTCATTCTGCACTCCCTTCTCTTTCCACATCAACGTCATTCAAATATGTTTGAATGAATGAATGCTTGTATGTGTTGCTGCAAGATGTGTATTTTTGTTGAGTGTGCATATATTTTTAATTAATTTAAGTATTGTATTAGAGACCCCTGATCTTTGTCTTGGGTTTCCTTCACTCAGTTATATATTGATGATGTGTTCCTGCTGCTGCATTACTTCCAGTTTGTCATTTCTACCTCCATTATAATACTTCAGTGACTGCAGCCACATTTTGCCTATCCACTGCATCTATGGCCTGTCCCGCTATACACGATACTGTGATACACACTTCTGTATGTGCTTTTATGTGAAAGAGTGATAGAACATTCTCTTATAAAGAAAGTGAAATTGGAGATCTAGTGACAACTGTGACTAAGTCAGTGCTTTACAGATCCTCTTGGACTATTGCAATTTCTGTCATACGATTCACTGATACACACACAGAATATACTGAAAAGAATGCAAAAGGATTTCATTAAGAGTGCAATTCAATGATTATTCCATTGGAACTAAATGGATTCGCTTGTTTAGATTTGATCGAGGTAACAGTCATGGTTTTAAAAATAAATATTAAGACATTTGAGTTCTTGTCAACGTTTTAGTAGTTGCTCTAGAGATTACAATATATACCCATAGCTTTTCTCAGGCTAGTTAACATTAATAATGTTTCATGCCACATAAAATACAGAAACTCTTCAATCATATAGGTCTATTTCCCTCTCCTCGTCCTTCCTGATGTAGTTGTCACATGGATTACGTGTGTGTGTGTGTGTATGTGTGTATCTATCTATCTATATCTTTGTTGTGCAATTCTAAAAACTACAGTTTTGCTTCACAGACTGTGAAAATAGTTTTATATATTTACTGTTTCTGGTGTTCTCTATTCCTTCCTAGTGGTCCAAATTTTCTTATGCCATTATTTTCCCTAGGCCAAAAACATCCGTTAGCATTTGTTATATTACAAATGTACTTATGACAAATGCTCCCAGTTTTTAAAAATGAAAAAAGTGCTTTGTCTTTATTGTTAAGAGATAGCTTTGCCAGATAAAAATTCTTAGTTCATTTTTTTCTCTTCAAGCACTTTTGGTATGTTATGCCAATGTCTTCTGGCATCCATAATTTATAATGAGAAGTCATTTGTTAACTAACCATGGTCTCTCACGTGTAATGTACTGTTTTCTTCTTGCTACTCTCAGATATGTCTTCTCTTTTTGGGTTTCAGACAGTATGACTACTGTGTTCTTAGACATGCTTGTCTTTGAATTTGTACTGCTTGAGTTTCACTGAGATTGTCATATCTGTACATCTACTGTTTTCAGCAATTTGATAACTTTGCATTTATTATTTATTTGAATATTTTTACCTCATTTTCTCTGGTTCTTCAGTAAATTGGACCTGTTTTTGTCTCACAGTCCTTAAGGCTGTGGTCATTCTTTGATTTTTTTCTTTTTTCTTCAGATTAGATCATTGCCATGACCCCATCTTCGAGTTTACTACTTACTTTGTCACCCCCATTTTCCTGCTAAGCCCTTTCTATACTTTTTCTTAAAAATATAGGTACTAAACTTTTCTGAAATTTTCATTACATTCTTTTCCATTCCATTTCTCTGCTGAGATTCCTACCTTTTCATTCATTATAAACATTTTTTCTTCATGTAATTTAACAAAATTGGTGATTATTTTAAAATTCTTTTCTCACAGTTCTAATACCTCAGTCATCTATAGATTGAATTCTGTTGTCTTTTATTTTGATAATGAGTGACAACTTCTTATTTCCTCATATGTCAAGTAATTTTGGATTGCATGCTTGTCATTGTAAATATAGGTCATCTTTAGGTTTTGTTATGGTCCCTGAAAAGCATCACTGTTGTTTGCTTGTTTTAACAGGCAATTGATTTAACAAGATTCAAACTTCAAACCCCATTTCATGAGTGGCAATTCAAAATCTCAGTTCAGCTATGTTGCTTGAAGTCTGACTCTCTCTCTCTCACACACACACACACACACACACACACACACACACACACACACTCTTCAGCCAGAAATTTGCATAGTTAATATATAGAATTTGGGGCCACTCCTCCTTTCCGTTTCCTTCCCATCTTGAAATCTCTGCTACAACTGCCCAGAATAATTCTGGGGTTCCTAGCAGAGTTTTAGCCACTGTGAATGCTGTTATTGTAATCTCTTCCAGGCTAAAAGCCATACAGTATGGGAAAATCAACCTTGCCATTCTTTTTTCTGAATGTAGACTCTTCTCTAGAAAGTCCCTGCCTTTTGTGTATGTCTGTGTGTCACTCTCCACTATATTTAAGTAGATTTCTACTTGTTTTCTTTTTCTTCCTTTCCCCTTTCTCCTCTCTCCATTCTTCTCCTTCCTTCTTTTTCCTCTCCCTTTTCACCTCTCCTGAGTGCTTTTCTCCCTCACTTCTTGCTTCCTTTATTTCTCTCCTTTCTGTTTAATTTGCTTCCTTCTTCTTTCCTCCTTTCCTTCCTTCCTCCTTCCATCCCTCCTTTTCTTCCTTTTGTTCTTCCTTTCCCTTCCCTTCTCTCCCCTTTCCTTCTTCCCATCCTTTCCCTTCCCTGTCCTTTCTTCCTTCTTCCCTTCCTTCCTTCCCTCCTTCTTTTCTTCCTTCTTCCCTCCCTCCTTCCCTCCTTTCCTTCCTCCCTTCATTCTTTCTTTCCTTTATTCCTTCCATCCTTTTTTTCCTTCCTTCCTTCTTTCTCACATTCGCTCTCTTCTATGTTTCTTTCTTCTTTTCTTTTATTTCACCAGAATTCATCGTTGTTATCAGCAGAAGGATAGGGTATGGTAGAAGATTCAAGTTCAGGCAAATCTTAGGATGATAACAAATGCTTCTTTGACATCCACCAAAAAACAAATCTTTTAATATTCTAACCTGAAAAATAGATATGTTCTCATAGTTATAAGATAAACCACATATACTAGTCCATTTTCACACTGCTAATAAAGACATACCCAAGCCTGGGATTATTTATTAAAAAAAAGTTTAAGGGACTCACAATTCCATGTGGCTGGTGAGGCCTCATAATCATGGCAGGAGATGAAGGAAGAGCAAAGGGACTTCTTACGTGGAGGCAGGTAACCTCTATATAAGTGAAACCCCTTATAAAACCATCAAATCCTGTGAGACTTATTCAAGACCATGAGCATAGTATAAGGGGAAACCACTCCCATCATTCAGTTATCTTGCACTGGGTCCCTCCCACAACATGTGGGAGTTATGGAAACTATAATTCAAGATGAGATTTGGGTGGGGACACAGTCAAACCATATGATCATAATCTATTTTACATAAAATAGTGTTATAGTTGAATAAGAAATAATTTCCAATAGCATTTTCAAAGCTGTTCTAGGCTGTTCTTGCATCACTATAAGAGAATATCTGAGACTAGGTAATTTATAAGAAAGGAGCTTTAATTGGCTCACAGTTCTACAGGCTGTACCAAAAGCATAGGACCAGCATCTGCCTCTAGACAGTCTCAGAAGCTTATGATCATGGTGGAAGGTGAGGGGGAACAGGCATTTCACATGGTGGGAGCAGGAGCAATAGAGCAAGGGTGTGGTGGTTGGGGCGGCCACACATGAAAACAACCAGATCACAAAAGAACTCACTCAATATCATGAGGACAGCACCAAAACATTAGAGATTCACATTCATGGCCCAAATAGCTGCACCAGGACCCACCTCCAACATTGGGAATTGCATTTCAACATGAGATTTGGGCAGGGACAAGTGTCCAGACTCTATCATTCCACTCCCCCCCACCCCAATCTCACATCCTTCTGACATTTTAAAACACACTCATGCCTTCCCAATAGCCTCTCAAAGTCTTAACTAATTGCAGTGTTAACCAGAAGTCCAAAGTCCAAAATGTAATCTGAGACAAGGCAAATCCCTTGAGCCTGTAAAATAAAAACAAGTTATTTACTTCCAAGATACAATGGAGGTACAGGAACTGAGTAAACCTTCTTGTTCCAAAAAGGAGAAATTGGCCAAAAAAAGAAAAAGGGCCTACTGAGCCCATGCTAGTTTGAAACGAAGCAGGGTAAGTTATTAAATCTTAAATCTCCAAAATATTCTCCTTTGACTCCTTGCCCCATATCCAGGGCACATTGGTGTGAGGGCTACAAGGCTCCCAAGGCCTGGGGTAGCTCCACCCTTTGGCTTTATAGAATTCAGACTTCACTGCTGTCACAGGTTGGTGTTGAGTGCCTGTGGCTTTTCCAGGCACAGGGTGTAGGCTGCCAGTAGATCTACAATTCTGGGGTCTGGAAGAGAGTGGTCTTCTTTCCACGGCTCCACCAGCTAGTGTCCCAGTGGGGACTCTGTGTGGGGCCTCCAACCCCCCATTTCACCTTGGCACTGCCCTAGTCGAGGTTCTCTGTTAGGGCTCTCTCCCTGCAGCAGGCTTCTACCTGGGCACCCAGGCTTCTTCATATTTTCTCTGATATTTAGGTGGGGGCCCCCAAGCCTCCCTTGCTCCTGTATTCTACATGCCTGCAGGCTGAAAACTACAGGGCAGCCGCCAAGGCTTATAGCTTGCATTTTCCAACATGCAGCCTGAGCTATACCTGGACCCCTTTGAGCCATGGCTGGAGCTGGAGTGGCCAAGATGTAAGGAGCAGTGTCCTGAGTTTCTGCAGGGTAGTGGGGTCCTGAGCCTGGTCTCCAAAAGCATTCTTCCTTCCTAGGCCTCTGGGCCTGTGATGGGAGAGGCTACTGTGAAAGTCTCTAAAATGCCTTGAGTCCTCTTTCCCACTGTCTTGGCTGTCAGCAACTGGCTCTTTTTCAGTTATGCAAATCTCTTTAACAACTGGTTGCTCCACAGTCTGCTGGAATTTCTCCCCTGAAAAAGCTTTTTCTTTGTCTGCCACTTGGCCAGCCTGCAAAAATTTTAAACTTTTATGCTCTGCTTTCTGTTTAAATATAAATTCCTAGTTCAAGTCACTTCTTTGCTCCCACATCTGACTGTAGGTTGTTAGAAGCAGCCAGGCCATATCTTGAATGCTTTGCTGCTCATAAATGTCTTCTGCAAAGTATCATAAATCATCACTCTTAAGCTCAAACTTCCACAGATCCTAGAGCATAAACAGAATGCAGCTGTGCTCTTTGCTAGGGTATAATATGCGTGACCTTTGTTCCAGTTTCCAGTAAATTCCTCATTTCTATCTGAGATCTCTTCAGCCTGGACTTCACTGTCCATATCACTATCAGCATTCTGGTCACAACTGTTTAACCAGTCTCTAAGAAGTTCTGAACTTTACCTCCCTTCATGTTCCTGTTTTCTGAACCTTCCACACTCTTCCAATCTCTACCCATTACCCAGTTCCAAAGCTCCTCCCACATTTTCAGGTTTTTTTTTTTTTTTTTTAATAGCAATGCCCCACTCCTCAGTACCAAGTTTTTGTTAGGCCATTCTGTTAGGCATTGTTATAAAGGAATACCTGAGACTGGGCAATATATAAGAAAAGTGGTTTAATTGGCTTACCGTTTTGCAAGCTGTCCAGGAAACACAGTGCCAGCATCTGCTTCTAGGGGAGCCTCAGGAAGCTTCCAGTCATGGTGGAGCCAAACAGGCAGCGGGTGTCTGACACGGCAGCAGCAGGAACGAGTGAGCGGAAGTGGGGGTGGTGGTTAAGTGTGTACCACGAGAGAGAGTGAGGGGACTGGTCTGGTCAAGTGTATGGTACACATTCAAACAACCAGATCTTACAAAAACTCGCCATCATGAGGGTAGTGCCAGGTCACGAGGAGTCGGACTGATGGCCCCAACACCTCCCATCAGTCAGTATGGACTGGGGATACATTTCAACACAGGAATTGGGCAGGGGCACCTATCCAAACTATATCAAAAACCATTTACTCCCTTTCCTTTTTATAGAAAAGATACCAGAGGACAAGCAAATATTATTTTTTCTATCTACAGTATTTAATATTCTTATTTGTTTTAAATATCCTTATTTTTAGTGCCTCATTAAAAATATCTTGGAGAAAGAAGTTTGAAAGTATGTCTGCCAAGGCTACTGCTGTCAGGTCAGCACTAGTTTTCAAACGCCATCAACTTTTAATAAACCTTGGCAGCCTGTTCTACCCCAAAAATTAGAAAAACAGTAATAAAAAGATTTTAGGGTAGAAAAATAATGTAGCTAGTGGTCTTTGTAAATAAGCAGAATTTAAGACTTAAGTGAGTAAGAATTTAGCTTGGGCAGAGATTAATGGATAAAAGAGATTTTATCATCCTTAACGAGATCCGAACAGGATTCCCCTTCCAATTTATTAGAAGAGTAGTCATTAAATTAAGGATAAAATATTAGCACCTACCAGGGTTTCTCTACTCTTAGTCAACTGGGAATGCCCATAGTGTTTAAGAACAACATTGTTATTTATAATGTGATCAAAACAAAATTAATGGCCCTCAAAAGAAAGAATGAATTGTGATTACAGCTCTTGACATCCTAAGAGCTTACTGCGGCAAGCAAAGAGGCATGAGAGTGCATGTGGCACAGAAAGGTTGGTCCCCACGTACTTCTGTGTAGATATATATGTGCCATGCATAAATATATAAATATGTGTGTATATATAAATATGTAGACATTATATATACATATATATGTATGTATATATATAATGTGTGTATATATAAATATGTATACATTATATATACATATATATGTATGTATATGTATATATAATGTGTGTATATATACACACAGACATTATATTCTTACATAACACTTTGAGTCTTATCTAAAGGAGATTTTGTAAGTGGCAATAACTATATCAGAATATCCTAAGTCCTGATATAATCAAACATTTTATTGGTAAATTAGCAAACGTATAATTTTGTCCCATGAAAATGTTATTTTTATTTATTTATTTTTGAGACAGAGTCTCTCTGTGTGGCCAAGGCTGGAGGGCAGCAGCACAATCTCAGCTCACTGCAACCTCTGCCTCTGGGGTTCAAACAATTCTCTTGCCTTAGCCTCCCCAGTTGTTGGGCTTATAGGCATGTGCCACCACACCCAGCTAATTTTTGTATCTTTAGTAGAGATGGGGTTTCACCATCTTGGCCAGGCTGGTCATGAACTCCCCTCAAGTGATCCGCCTGCCTTGGCCTCCCCAAGTGCTGGGATTTCAGGCATGAGCCACCGCACCCGGCCGAAAATGTTAATTTTATGAACAAATTACATATACAAGTAGCTAATATATCACCAAAGATGGTCTCAATGGCTCATCCATACTGTAATCTGAAGACTTTAATAATCATTGGATAAATATGTGTGATTTTTATAGTTTAATGAGAAAAATAAACTGACAAATTCTATTGTCTTTGTTTGATTCCGCACTGCAGTGAGATTTAATCCCTGCCTGCTTTCATTTCCAGGTGTTGAAAACGTGGTGCATTTCAGAAGGAGTGTGCAGACGTGAGTGTTTCTCAGCCTTTGCTCTGGGTACTGCAGCCTCTTCTGTTTTCTGGTCCATCCAGTCCCCAACTTTCACTGCTCGGCTACTCTGGTTCTGCAGCAGCCTTTGTATTTTAGCTTTCCCCTTTGTCTCCTCTTGTTCTTTTCATGAGATGAATGAGCCTATGGATGGTTTACTTCTCCGGCTCTTTTGTACTTTGATTTTCCTGGTACTCATTAGTGTAGCTGGTCTCAGCTCTGCCTCTGCTCCTGAATTTCAGTATCTACGTACACCCTGCTCCGCTTCCGTTATTCGTCTAAATTCTGACTTTCATCATCATACTTTGTATGGACTTAGTTTTGCTTCTGGGGCAGTTTGTGGTATACACAGCAACCTTGTTTGTCACTCCCGGCTCGTTCTCAGCTCCTCAAGCAACTTTGAGGACTTTGCTTTGTCTTTAGGCTATGGCATCCCTCATTCCGATCCTACAGCTGACTCCGGAATTCCATTTCCTGCCTCTCGTGTTCTTTCTTTTTCTTTATCAACATAATTTCAATACCATGAGCCTCTATTTTGGTATTTGTTTTTGGTATTTGATATTAACCTGATGGGCTAGAAAATCAACATAAATAAAAAATAGCAGTCCTGATACATATCCTTCAAGATGATATCATCCATTTGCTACCACTTTTTCATGATTGTGTACCCACCTGTATTATTGAGGTTCCTTGCTTATTATCCCTGACTATATGACTCAGTTTGGAAGAGTATTTAAAGAACAGTGGATTGTTATGCTGTTGAAATTACCTTGCTTGTTATATGTCTCATTAATCATTATGTGAATACTGGTTATTGCCCACTTTGGGGATGCCCTGGGGCCCCCATTATGGTTCACTGTGGGGTGATTGCTATTGAGTGAAGGAGGTACACTGTGGGCTGCCAGGCAGATACCAACATTCTTTGGTGCTTGGGAGGGAAGAGCTCATCATGTCCCTCAACTGCGGTTTAATCTTCAGACCTATCAAAATTCTCACTCTTCTTCCCATGCGCACGTCGTGACTGTAATTACACTGGGGTTGGTGTCTAAGTAGGAAGAAAAGAGCCTGTAAAGGCCGGGTATGGTGGCTGACTCCTGTCATACCAGTGTCTGGGGAGACCGAGTCAGGAGGATGGCTTGAGGCCAGGAGCTTGAGTCCAGCCTGTGCAACACCCTGAGACCCCCCATCTTTACAGAAATAAGTAAATGAAAGCTGGGCGTGGTTACCCATGCCTGTAGTCCCAGCTACTTTGGAGGCAGAAGTGGGATCATTTTGAGGCTGAAAGGAGCTATGATTGCACCACTCCACTCCAGCGTGGGTGAAAGAGCACGATCCTGTCTCTAAAACAAACACACAGTCAAACCCCTCTTTCTCTTGGAAGCATCTTCTTGAGAGACAGAATCCGGAAGTTATTGACTGATTTAAGCAAAAGGGTTAAGTATTTTAGTCGTTCCTGGTGGGTGACTGAGAATTCGCTCTCTTTTTCATAGGACCGTTTTATTTATTTATTTTGTGGTCTTTTTAATACCTTTGTAGAAGCCATCTCTTTCAGGGCAAATGAACATGCCAGCCTTCACAAAAATGGTCTTTGGTATCACTGGGTGGTTGGTCCCTGTAAATGCTAAAGTTCCTTATTATTTAAACAGTTTGCATGGAATAAAAGCCACCCACTCTCTCACTTGTGTTTCTGGGGAGATAGTTCTGAGGGAGGGGTTTGTTTCCTAAGCTGAATGCCTCCTCCTGTCAGAACCAGGTAGATGATGTGTGGGACTTTGGAAGCTGTTTGAGCAGCAGTGGAGGCTGCAGGTATGTAGGTGTGTGTCCCTTACACACTCACACACACGTCCCATAATAAAGCTGTGGGCTTGGGACTGAAAGTGAGAAATCCCACTTTCCACTCCACAAAGAGACCTAAAATTGATACTCACTGCTGTGAATTTCTGTTGTCATCCTAATTTTCCTCTCTTTAGAGTAAAATCTGAAAAGGAAGAAATGAAGATAACACATCACAAAACATGAAACTCAGGAGAGAATTTTAACTTTCCTTTCATTCTCAGAAAAAATACATACGTAAATAAAAATATACATGTGTACATACATACACATCTATGTGAGGTGTAGCTGAGCGATCTCCTAACAGAGATGCCCTTAACTCTTGTCTTCCAGGACCGTGACAGTGTTTATGATGACCCGTCACTGAAAGGATAAGACTTTTTGATTTGCCTGAACCATTTTTTTTCTGGACATGTCAGGTTCTAAAGGCTTTGTGGAGCTGCGAATGAAAACAGACAACCTTGCTGTTGTGTTACTGCAGTCATCTCTGTAATGCAGTTTTGAGCCCTTTGGAGACTCTCATAAACAGAAGTTTCATCTGAAATGGCTGCTGTTAAGATTCCTATTTATGGTGTAGTGCATATTTTATTTTTAAAATAATTCCATTGTTTGTCAGCAAAGTAGATGGAATTTTAAAATAATTTCCCAATAGTAGGAACTGTATTATTTTTTGATGTCTGTTTATAATATTTTTAATAAAGTGATAAGGACTTCACAAAGGCTTTTTTTTTTTTTAATAACCCTTTGACCATTTGAAGCTGGCAAATACAACTGGGGTGAGCTAATCGCTCTCATTCCTTTTGCTTGGTCACGCAGTATGAACCACATCAGACAGCGGCCATTCTGCCCCTTCTGGAATTCCTGGGAAGATCAGACCACAGTCCCCTTTAACGACTCATCCACCCCTGTGCTCGGCAAACCAGACTGGTGGAATTTCTTATTATATGTACCTTGAAGCTTGTACTTACCCCATATCTTTTTCCCCTTGCTTTCCACAGTCTGAGAACCTACTTACTCTAACAATTCTTTACATACTTAATGGTTGTTTTTTAAATGTTATTGCTATGATTAAATTTTTTAATAATTTTTTAAGGTAAGCGATCTTAAGCATTTCAATATTTTTTGTATGTCGTATTTTCCACTCACTCTATCGTGTGTCTGTTTTGCTCTTTAACTAATATTCATCACCAGAATTATTATAAAGCTTCATCGTTTGCAAGGCACTTTCATATTCATGTTCTCTTTCATTCGGTCCTTCCGAGAACCTTGTGACACACAGGGAGATGATATATTCATTTGGTTAGGCCAGACAGGAATGAATCTGGAAGGAGGGTGAAGTTATTCTAATGTGAAATGAAGAATCTTACAGAGAAGGAGATAGATATAAGAGCATGAAATGGTGCTACGATTCGGTATTTCTTTTGCCAGGCAATATAGGAGAGATGTATCTGCCTAGGGTAGATCCCCTGTTCGCACCCACTAATTGTCATAACAAATCAAAGCCCCTCATTTTTGCAGACTCTTCTAGTTGGCTCAAACGAAATTCCACTGTAACTGAGCTGGTACACAAATGTACAGCGTGTTACATGTGCACACACAGATCTGCATAAATGAAATGTGTTGGTTACCCACATTGTGGCTACTAGGTGCTCTTCATTCTCCCCTCCAATTTCTGTCCAGTCTCTCTTTCACTAGGTGGGTAGGGAGAGAGGGGAGTTCAGACTTGTCATTATATTAAGATATCTGGGATAAAGTTCGCTCACAAAATGTTGAAGTCACCTCCATTTATGTAAACCTCAGATAAGTCATTTCTCCATTACTTTTTTCTGAGCAACACTGAATATAATTTAGAAGCTGAATGTTTTATGTTGTATTAAGAAATAAGAATGATCTACAAAGAATAATTCGCTAAAGAACGAACAGATAAACTGAGTCCCGGAATGTTTAAGACCCTAGGACTTCGTTACGCCATGATGGAACCAGCTTGCGCAACAGAAGCCCGGGTCTCGTCTCCACAGTGAGTTGACTGGCAGATGATGGGTTGTGCTTTGAGCTTGTCTCCAGCTTGAGGAACAAGAAAGTCTAAAACGCTATTAGGGTTTTTCTGTTAGATACCCAATGGCAAAAATTTCTCCCAGTCCCCTGTCCCACAAGGAAAATAACCTCTTTATGAAATTGGAAACTTTGAAGGAAGATTTATTTTTGGGTTTATGAAACCCGAAAACGCCATCTGGTGCTTTGGGGTTTGCAGGCTGGTGGCTTTGACAGTCCTAAGTTTGGACTGGCCCCCATCCCCTCTTCTAGAATTCAGTCTCTACATTGATACCAAAAAGGCTAGTCTTCTAAACTGACTGGGTAACTTGTAAAAATCAGCAGGATTTAGGATAGCATACCTGTGACTTTGAAAGGGCAGTTTTACTGTTTGTTACACGCTGTATTAAAGAGTCCAGTTTGTGAACTCCGAGCCTCCACTCTGCTTAGCTTTCTTGTAGGAGCGCTGTGTAATTTTGGTTTTGTTTTGACAGTTGGTGACCTTTGACCCCTCTGAGTAAAATGTTTAGGCTGAGGCAAGACTGAAAAGAGCTTTCAGATGGGATATTTCCAACCTCTTTCAAGCTAGAGCAATCTTCCCCTCAGCACAGCAAACCCTTATATAGAAGTGGTTTCAGCCTCTCTCCAGTGTTCTGGTGGAACAAATCAGATCAAAGCCTTTCTTAATATGTTTGAAAAATGCACATCCGCATTGCAGAGCAAAAACATGTTATGGAAATCAATAATATCATATTCAGGCAGCCCTAACTTCAAAGTGAATCCTATGTGTGTTCTCAATTTCAAAAGAAAATGGGGAAAATGAGAACAGGGTGCATAAGTTTTCTCTGCTTAATTCTATTTGTAACTGAGCTGAGATATCGAATGTCTCTTTACTGCTTTTTGACGGGTCCCTAAGGACTCTGGGGGTAGGGCTATCTGCTTATTAATTGCCTGCACCTGTGATAATCTTAAGCACTTAGGTTACAAGAGTGGCAAACTTTCTTCCACTCCATGCTTTGGAATGCAAATTATTTACAATTGATTGAAAAAGCATTTTAGAGGAGCATATAAAATGAGAAACACAAAGATAACATAGATTAACCTTGCAAATTCTGTTATTGAAAAGAAAATTGTTTTTGAATTGATAGTTTGTTTTTCTTCCCCCATTATTTGGTACAATATTTGTTGAGGTCCCATTATAAGGCTGTCTGTCACTTTCTAAGGTACAGTATGATCATATTTGTAAATTATACAATGTTTGGGGGTAGGATTGAATTTTTCAACACATTGAATATGCTTCATAATATTAGAAGACATAATTGGATGTGTGATTTGATGCACTGACTTATTTAGTATGTAATGTCAATACTTACTCGATGTCTGCACCATGCATGCATATATTCTCTTATTTGCTGCAAAGTAAATATTAACCATATTTTGCTGGAAGGATTGTATAAAAACGAATTGACTGGTTTACTCTTCTTTTTTTCTCTGTGCATCTTTCCCACAATGGTGATGGTGAACTGTAAAATTGTGGTATCCAGGTTCAGGATTTAAAATTCAAAAGGAGATGCCCAGGGGCTGAGTCTTGATATCCAGTCTGCTTCTTAACTTGGCTGTTACCTGTGGAACGTCATGTCAGAGGTCAGGCAGGGCAATATGGTTCTTTCCACAACAATGTCTCTTATTTTGCTTCTCAATATCTAATACATTTACTTGCTTGCAACCTTTTCCCAACATAGTGTAAGCATGTCAAAGTTTATATAATAGACTGAGATGAAACTGTTTAAATTGTGGGTTTTAAATGATACTGCACAGTCATTTGTTTAGAAAATGGGGAGACTACAAGTTGACCAGATATGATATACTCAGATACTCGTCTAAATTGATCCCGGACCTGACTCATCTGTGAGTGACTTTTGGTTACCAGAACGGCCTATCGTTTCAACTTAAACCTGCATTGAGGATTTTGAAAAGCTTTCTCTGAGTTTACTTTCAGATAATTCCACCAGATGTGGTTTATAGACTAAAGTGTGCCTCTTGACTCTTTACAAAAGAAAATTCATCCCCCGAGATAGTTCTTTCTTACGCTGCTCAGTATTGAGGTTGTAGAGAGACAGAACTGCCTTGCATTTCAACTTAAACTTCAAAAATGCATCAAGGATTTTGATAAGCTTTCTTTGAGTTTACTTTCAGATAATTCCCCCAGATGTAGCTTATAGACTAAAGTGTGCCTTTTGACTCTTTACAAAGGAAAATTTCATCCCTTGAAATGGTTCCTGCTTATGCTGCTTAGTAACTGGGGTTGTAAAGAGGCAGACTGACTTGGGCTGCTGTCCTTTGGCCTATGTTGGAATTGGTAGGAAAGAAAAGGTAAGCATTGTTAAATGAATACACAGATAGAAGCTCAGGATTATGGAGCCACCTTTCACTGGCTCCTCTCTTTGTTATTCCTATATCCTAGCTGTCACGAGTTCGTCAAGTGTTATAAAAATACTTCTGAGTTTTGACAGTAGCATCAATTTCCGTTTTCTTAACTAGTAGCACCAAATAAACTCCATCCTGGGGATTACTGTCCTTCACTCTGCTGATTAATTTGGTCAATGTTTGCTGTAGTTTTTTTAGAAAGGCACGTCTAAAAAAATTACATTATGTAGAGTTAGATGAACCCTCAGAATCCTGACTCAAGGATTTATCTCTGAAATTGTGATATATACACCTCTGAGATCTCTCGCTCTCCACACACACACAAACACACTTATATAAATCATGTATGGCCACTGGTGTTTTTAAAAACCTTTTCTTTTTCATCAAGAAAGAGCAAAAAAAAAAAAAAAAAAAAAAAAAATTCTGCCCAGTCATTCAAGTTAGCAGATTTGTCTTTTCTCCAAAATTCATGAATCAAGTTCTAATTAGTGCCAACAAATCTACTGAAAAGGATTTTCTAAAAAAAAAAGAAAGAAAAAGAAAAGAAAGCAAGCAAGCTGGGTGTGGTGGCTCATGACTCTAATCCCTGCATTTTGGGAGGCTGAGGCAGGCAGATAGCTTCAGCTCAGGAGCGGGAGACCATCCTGGCTAACACTGTGAAACTGCATCTCTACTAAAAATACAAAAAAATTATCCAGGTGTGGTGGCACATGCCTGTAGTCCCAGCTACTTGGGAGGCTGAGGCAGGAGAATCACTAACCTGGGAGGCAGAGGTTGCAGTGAGCTGAGATCATGCCACTGCACTCCAGCCTGGGTGACAGAGCGAGACCTCGTCTCAAACAAAAAAAAAAAAGAAAGAAAAAGGAAAAATGAAAGCAATTTTATTCTACCATTCCAGTGAGGTTTGCAAACTGGGGAGATGTAGGCTTGGGTACAAAACAAAGGTGTGTTTCAAGAGAACAAAGAGGGTTTGTGTTTTATAGAGGAAGGTCCTGTCAAGTTCCCACATGGGTCCACTTCTTTAATGGTCATTGCTTGCCACTCGTTGAATTCTGACTGGGTGGTGCAGGTTGCGCTCTAATGGTTGATTCAGGTGGTATAGACGGGAATAGAAAGCAATGGAAGTCCCAAAGTTAAGTGAGTGTGGGAGTTATCCAGAATCACAGAGTGCATGTGTGACTTCTGGTCAGCAAATGGCTGTTTGGCACTGTTTTGAAATTAGGTCCAATTAGCCACTCAAGATCTGTTTTGAAGGATTGGTTTCTTCAGGATTCACGTTTGTAAGTTCCAGACAAAGTTTGTTACTATTCCCTGCCTCATAAAATGCTTCATCATTGGGTCTTCTTCATTTGTTTTTTGACCACTAAATTCCACCAGTGCAAACCACAGTTTGCTTCAAACCCGTAACAAGAGTTTTCTAGCCTTGACCTTTTGATCATTGGTTTGGGATTTTTATACTCACATATAACTATGGTTTTCTGCAACATTATGGTAAAAATCTCAGTCAAGTTGTTTGTAAAGAGAGTGGGGAAGCTGTATTTTTAGTATTACAGTGACCCCTGGGTCCTGGGTAAGTGCAGTTGCAGAAAAAGAAGTCATGGCCAGTTGAGGAACTTTGGCCTTTGGCTCAGAAATATGTCTTGATGGGTTTCTGGCTGAATTTCCACAGAGATTCATAGTACAATAAAACTGACAAGCATGAGTTTTTCTCATATGTTTATAATGTAGTTTCTCAACAATATGTGAACACAGTTGAAACATTAGAAATAATCTTGAGATCCTTGAAGTTCACATACATTTGTCTGACCTCAACAAATGCTATAAGCAAGGACTGCAGAATCCCTAGTTCAGAAAAACCAAATTAAATGAGATAATGTATGTTAAAGTACTCTGTGCCTTATAACTTCCATCCAGATACCATATTTACAGTTTAATAATTTTCTTTTGCTTCCATGAAACAACGTTCAAGTTAGGTCAGTGTTTATGTATATGTCGTTAGTGAAACACAAATCGAATGGGGTTTAGAATAAGAATTGACTCCTTTTTTGTTTCTAAATACCAGAGACGTGTTGTTTCTGCCTTTGCAGCATTCCTTTTATCCCTCTTGTGAGGAACGTTGTTGTTTATGTCAAGAGTCGTTGGTTCTCCATCTGAGTCTGTGCTTTTCGAGTGTGGCTCATTCTATCATCCAGCTCTGTAGATGGACAGTAATCTTAACCTGACCAATTAGAATTCTCTGTGATTAGTGCATGGATGGGCAAAGGACGGATGCTAGCTCAGTGATAATCATCTGGAACCTCCAAAAGAAGTAACCTTATAGTTTCTGGTATGTATGTTTTTGATCCTGTGGGGACAGCCTGCCTGAAATGAATCCAATGTAAGGAAGAGAGGGATGAAGAAAGGGGACACTTTCCTGTTGACAAAAGTGAATCTCCTACGTCTACCACATCTACCAGTGCTCAAAGTTGGTTCTCTTGAATTTCCCAGCCATGTGAGCCAATAAACATCTCCATCTTTTTGTTTCTTTGTTTAATTAGTTTCAGCGAAGTTTCTGTTACTGACAGTGGCATGTTCTGTTTTAGTCCCTCTCTGTCGTTCACTGACTGGCTTAGTAGCTCTGTTCCCTTGGGCACGCCACCTAAATTTTATCAGATCGTTTTTCCATCTGTAAAATGAAATTGTATAACTTAGATCTCAAACAGAAAGCATATGGTGCACTGAAATTAGAATAGTGCAAGGAGTGTTTATTAATAAAGGTGTGGGAATTGCATAGTATTAGATAAGCTGCTAACACCTCAGCTCCAAAGGGATGAGAGGAGGAGACATATCTGAGCCTGAACAGATAGTCTCGCAGAGGACGACACCCTGAAGGAACAGTGAGCTGTGTCCTGGACAAACTTAACAGGAAGGAACCAGGGGAATAAATTTGCTGTCTTCTGTCTCCTTCCCGCCATCCACCTCCTGTGAGGATTTCCCACTTGCTAAACCCAGCAGAAAGGCAGAAGGAAGAGAGCCTGTTGATGTGGTTCATGGAGCTCACCCTGTGGAGGAAAACAAAACAACAACAACAAAAACGGAAATGGGGAGCGTGGACCTGGAGGGACAGAGCAGATAACCTTGAACTTGGCTTCTGTTTCCAAAACTAAATAGGAATCAATGAAGGAATTGGAATGAAGTGAGTTTGAGGTTAATTTGGATCGATGTACATATGTGAGAAAAGAGGAGGAAAATATTTGAATTTGTTTTGTTGTTCTTTTTTCACATTTAACATTTCAATTCATAAAGTTCGATTAATGTCATTTTATTACTTCTAATGACATGGACAAAAAGGGTGAACATATTTGCTCGAGAAATTAGATAATACCATTGTTCAAGTTGTTCTTGAAAGTTTCTTTCAATAATTAGAATGGGACTTTATCTGAGCATCAATTTTAAAAGTACAGAAAAAAACTGATTTCATTTCACCTCCTGTGGAGTTATATGGCTTTAAATCGCTCAACTACATGGGCTTAATAAAAGTACAAAAAACAGACACTTTTTTTTTCTTTTCTTGTTTCCAATATAGCTGTTAAATGCAGACCTGGTATTTCATCTGGTTTCTCTATTGAAGAAACAGTAATTTGTTTCAGTGCTGGAAGAAAAGCTGACTGTGTGAAGCTTATTTAGAGACAGTGAAGTTTGTACAAAACCAGGGATATTGTTCCTCACAGGCAACTTAAGGAATGTTCGAGAGTGACTTTGACTCTACCCAGTTTTTTCCCCACTGACTTAATTGTTGAGTAGATGTGTCTCCACTGCATGGCACCTAGAATGCTCAGGGAGAAAATAATACTTTCGCATAATGATATGTAGGTCTTGTTAATTTACAAAATGCTCACTCAATTCCTGTTCTTTTATCGGAACTGTGTCCTTATAGATGTGAAGTATAAATATATGCGTGTTAACACGCAGCACAGAAAGTCCACCTCCTTCTTCTTGGGAGCGACGGCCTGTGTCTCTAGCAAAACTAGCAGGTCAGGCTCCTCCTGTCCTGCCTCGCTGCCTTCCTCCTGTACTCTGATCCAGGGAGGTCCACGTATGGCCAACGGCAGAAGTGCCCACTCGGTGTACATGCACCTTGTGCATGGTCCAAGATGCAGTTCTGCAGACCCCTAAGACTCTGTTTTGGCCATTGTGAGTTGCAACGTATGCAATGT